ATATATGTAATTCTTGTTTGGGATATTCTTTTGCTCTCGGCTCTCAGAAGCCCCCCCCCCCCGCATTTATCTTCTCCTGGACTACCCGTCTTTTGTATCTGCTCCAGTCGCCAGTGAATCGTCTCACCCGCCTCCCCCCCCCCCCGGGGATAGCCGGCAGTGCTCCTCTGATTTCCTCGCATAGGATTCCGCGTCTCCCTCTGTGCGCGGAAGTGCTATCCTGCTCTATTCTATTCTACTCTCCCTTCGCCAGCTCGACACCAGCATTTCTTCTCCGCTTCCAGTTCGTGGCCGCATGTCGGGCTGCTACAAGCCACACATCCATCGCGTCATGCCGCCTCCTGAACCAAATCATTGTTTTATTTCTGTGTTGTGAAAAATATTTAAAAACCCAAAAAGGTTAAAACTGAAACCTCTAAAACCTTAGGACCCTACTCCCGCGCATTGGCATTCGCATTCACAAACTTGGTTTTCGGTCGCGTTTTGCCGGCATCTTCCCTCCTTGATATACGCGGCCCCCCCCCCATGTTTTCTTCTCCTCAATCGTCTGTGCTTCGTCGTCTTGCCCTCCCCCCCCCTGGACTCAGGGTTACGAGAACAGCTGGATGACGGCGGTGGATTGGGCACATGTACCGGACGCGTCACCGCTCTACCAGTGGTACTGTGCCATATACTGGATGATCGTAACGGTACGACAAAAACCGTTCTCACCACTACCAGTGTGTCGTTGTTGACAACAAGAGATAGCCGGGTGAAACTGAGTAGCCTGGGGTGCTTGGGGACTGGGGATAGGGGTGGGGGTGATGGGGTGGGAGGTGAGAAGAACGGGAGGAGGAGGAGGGAAGGGGAGGAACAGAGGTGAAGGGGCAAAGGGAGGAGAGGTGATCTAGGAAGCAACACGTCATTGCTGAGTACGGTGTCCCCTTCCCACCCCCCACCTCCGTGTGCCTCTCCCCTTCCCCCCTCCCCTTCCCCCCTCCCCTTCCCCCCTCCCCTTCCCCCCTCCTCTTCCCCCCTCCCCTTCCCCCCTCCCCTTCCCCCCTCCCCTTCCCTCCTCCCCTTCCCTCCTCCTCTTCCCCCCTCCCCTTCCCCCCTCCACGCACACACCGCCCAACACACCGCCCAACACCCCACCCCCAGGCCACTACGACGGGCTTTGGTGACTTCCAGCCTCGTAGCATCGCAGAGCAGGTCGTTGCCAACGTGGCAATGGTGGGAGGTATGATCATGTTTGGTGTGTTGGTGGCATCCATCGGCCAGGCGCTGTCTCGAGCGACGAGGGAAGCGCACCAGGTGCGGGCATGCGTGCGTGTGCGTGTGTTTTGTGTGTACGGCAAGTGTGTATCTACTACCAGTGAACTGGCAGCAGAGGTGGCGCGAGATGGCAGTAGTAGTATGAAAGGGATGTCGCCGTTACACACCCGCACTGGGTTGTCAGGGGAAGTGGTCTCCCACATCAGTGAATTGTTGTGGGGAAGACGTTGGGGGATTGTTACTTTGATACTTGACGAGATGATGATGGCTGGGAGGAGGACGGTGTGCGCGTATATGTTCGTTTATGTATGCGTGTGCGTATGTGCGTGTATGTGTGTGTATGCGTGTGCGTATGTGCGTGTGTGTGTTTGTGTCCCCACCCCCACCCCCCAAGGCCCAATCCTCGACGCACCCAGTTT